TGTTTTTGTGAGGCTGAATGGTCTTATGTTGGTTTCCAGAATCCCAACTTTACAACTGTTTTTTCACACCCAGTTTCGGGGGTGACACGTGTCACCTGTTGTTCTTGTGAGGCTGAGTGGCTCTATGCTGGACCCCATCATCCCAACTTTACAACTGTTTTCTCTCACGCGGTTTCGGGGGTGACACGTGTCACCCGTTGTTTTTTTGTGAGGTTGAATGACTTTATGTTGGCTCCCCCAATCCCAAGAGTTACACTTGTTTTTTCTGAGACGGTTTCAGGGGTGACATGTGTCACGCGTTGTTTTTTTGTGTGAGGCTGAGTGGCTCTATGCTGGACCCCATAATCCCAACTTCACAACTGTTTTTTTCTCAAGCGGTTTCCGGGGTGACACGTGTCACCCGTTGTTTTTGTAAGGTTGACCGGCCTTATTTGGCTCCCAGAATCTGAGGTGTATGATGGTTTTTTCTCACACGGTTTCGGGGGTGACACGTGTCACCCGTTGTTTTTGTGAGGTTGAATGGCTTTATTTTGGCTTCCCAATTACCAACAGTTATAATTGTTTTTTTTCTGGAACGGTTCAGGGGTGACACGTGTCACCCGTTGTTTGTTTTGTGTGAGGCTGAGTGGCTCTATGCTGGACCCCATTATCCCAATTTTGCAACTGGTTTTTCTCAAGCGGTTTCCGGGGTGACACGTGTCACACGCTGTTTTTGTAAGGCTGACCGGCCTTATTTGGCTCCCAGAATCTGAGGTGTATGATGGCTTTTTCTCACACGGTTTCGGGCGTGACACTTGTCACCCGTTGTTTTTGTGAGGTTGAATGGCCTTCGGGTTGCCTCCCATAATCCCAAATTTGCAACTCTTTTTTTTCGGGGGTGACACGTGTCACCCGTGGTTTTTGTCAGACTGATTAGCCTTATGTTGTTTCCCAGAATCCCAACTTTACAATTCACTTCTCTCGCACCGTTTCTGGGGGTGACACGTGTCACCCGTTGTTTTTGTAAAGCTGAACTGCTTTTTTTGGCTCCCATAATCCAAAATGTACGTCTGTTGTTTGACGGTTTCGGAATTGACACGTGTCACCCGTTGTTTTTTGTGAGGGCACATGGTCTCAAGTTTTTGTCCAGAATATCAAGCTTAACCATGTTTTCTTCTCACACGGTTTCGGGGATGAGACGTGCCCCCCTTTTGCTTCTGTGAAGTTGAATGGCCTTATGTTGACCCCGTAATCCCAACTTTACAGTTCGGTTTTGTCACACGGCTTCGGGGGTGACACGTGTCACCCGTGGTTTTTGTGAGGTTGAATGGCCTTATGTTGGCTCCCAGGATCCCAACTTTACAATTGGTTTCTACCAGACAGTTCCCGTGTTGTTTTTGCGAGGTTGAGCTTAGGCTGCTTTCCAGAATCCTAATTTTACTTTGGTTATTCTCAGACGGTTTCGGGGTTTACACGTGTCACCCGTTGTTTTGTGAAGCTGAACGGCCTTATCTGGGTTCCCAGAATGCAGAATTGTTCAATTCGTTTTTCTCATCCGGTTTCGGGGGTAACACGTGTCACCCGTTGTTTTTGTGAGGCTGACTGGCCTTATGTCGTTTCCCAGAATCCTAAATTTACAATTGGTGTTTCCTTATACGGTTTCTGTGGTGACACGTGTCACCCGTTATTTTTGTGAGGCCGAGTTGTTTCATGTTGGCTCCCAGAATTCCAGAGTTGCTTCATGTTCGCTCGGGCGGTTTCGGGGGTGACACGTGTCACCCGTTGTTTTTGTGAGGCTGACTGGCCTTATGCTGGCTTCTAGAATTCCGAATTTACATTTGGTTGTTCTCACACGGTTTGGGGGGTGACACGTGTCGCCGGTTGTTTTTGTGAGGCTACATTGCCTTATGTTAGCTCCCAGAATCCCAAATTTACAATGTTTGTTCTCACGCGGTTTCGGGGCTGACGTGTCACCCGTTGTTTCTGTATGCGATGCTGAATGGCCTTCTGCTGGCTCCCAGAATCCACGGGTACACTTGTTTTTTCTCGCACGGTTTTGGGCGTGACACGTGTCACCCGTTGTTTTTGTGAGGCCGAGTGGCTGTATGTTTGTTCCAATATTCCCAAACTTACAATTGGGTTTTCTCAGACGGTTTCGGGGTGACATGTGTCGCCCGTTGCTGTGAGGCGGAGGCTTTCTGTTGACCCCCAGAATCCCAACCTTCCAATTGGTGTCTCTCAAACAGTTTCGGGAAGTCACGTGTCACTCGTTGTTTTTGTGGGGCTGAATGGCCTTATGTTGGCTCCCAGAATCCCAACTAAACACTTGGGTTTCGTCACGCGGTTTCGGGTGTGACACGTGTCACCCGTTGTTTTTGTGAGGTTGAATGGCCTTATGTTGGCTCCCAGAATGCCAAATTTACAATTGGTTTTTCTCACGCGGTTTCGGGGGTGACACGTGTCGCCGGTTGTTTTTGCGAGGCTGACTAGCCGTATGTTGGCTCCCAGAATCCCAACTCTACCATTGGGTTTTGTCACACGGTGGCGGGGGTGACGCGTGTCACCTGTTGTTTCTTGTGAGGTTGAATGGCCGTATGTGAGCTCCCGGAATCTCAATTTTACAATTGGTTTCTCTCACACGGTTTCGGGGGTGACACGTGTCACCCGTTGTCGTTATGGCTGTATGTCGTTTCCTTGAATCCCAACTTTACAATTTGTTTCTCTCGCACGATTTCGGGGCTGGCACGTGTCATCTGTTGTTTTTGTGAGGTTCAATGGCCTGATGCTGGCTCCCAGAATCCCATTTACAATTAGATTTTGTCACAAGGTTTCGGGGGTGACACGTGCCACCCGTTGTTTTTTGTCAGGTTGAACAGCCTCATGTTGCCTCTCATACTCCAAATTTACAGTTGGGTTCTGCCGCACGGTTTCTGTGGTGACACGTGTCACCCGTTGTTTTTGTGAGGCTGAATGGCTTTATGTTGGCTCCCAGCCATCCTGTGGTGCTGGGTCCTCGCTTTGAAGAGACAGTGCCCCGCGTCTCCCGCTTCCTACCCTCCCGCTCCTCCTCCCGCCCCCCCCCCTTTTCCACTGCCATCGTCATCGTCGTCACCGCCACCCATGTCCATTTCGGCACCTCCCTCACACACTTTGTGGCCCCATGGGGAGCTCCACCAGAGGCCCCAGTTGCCGCGTTCGCGTGCGGTTTCCCGCCCGCCGCATGTCCACGTCGGCACACCCCTCGCACGCTTCGTGGCCGCAGAGGAGGGCTAGACTCCAGGGCCTCAGACTCCTGGGCCCTAGACTTTAAGTCGGGCCTGTCCCTCTACAGGGGGAATAGTCAAACATGGTCAAGCAAAATACGCGCACGCACACGCGCACGTTCGCGCACACGCACCACACACACCAACACAACGCACACACACTCACACATAACAAACATACGAATGTCTATTCGCGTATATGTGTATACCTAATATATATACATAACTATATCATACATGATAGATATATGTACACACACATATATATATATACATATATATACACATATATATGTATGTATGTATGTACGTGTGTACATATATATATACACGTATGTATGTATATATGTATGTTTGTATGTATGTATGTATGTATATATATATATATATATATTGGGGGGGGGGGGGGCGAGGCCGGGTGCCCCAGGACAGGTGCCCCGACCCCCCATGGGGGGACGGGGGGGGGGCCTGGAGCCTCCCTGGAGCAGCCCAGGCGGCCCAAGAGTGCCCCAAGAGCGCTCCACGACAGGCCCAGCAGGCTCCAAGAGGCCCAAGAGGGCGCCAAGAGGGCCCCAAGATGCACAAGATAAGCCCAAGACGGCCAAAGAGGCCCCCAAGACGCTCCAAGAGGCCTCCAAGAGGCCCCCCCAGAGGGCCCCAAGAGGCCAACATCGTTAATTTTACGAAGGTTTCGGAGCAGCCCCCGAAAATGGGGACAGTGTCACAGATCGCTGCCCCTTGGCAAGATGCACACACAAGAGGTACCACACACACACACACACGAGGTACGCACAAGTCAAGAGAAGACAAGAGGAACGCGAGTGGCGATAGGCGGGAGGACTGGAGACCGCAGTGCTTCATTCAAAACGAATGCCCAACTAAGGAGGGTTGGGAAATATCAGGAGGGGGAGATATCACATACAGAAACAAGTAATCGTCGAACCCCAGCAAAATATGAAAGAATTATGGGAAGTGGGGAGGAGGGCGAAGATCCAGAACAGATGCGAAAATGGTCCGAGTCCTGGGATTTATGCTTGTATCGAATGTAGATCCCTGGGCCCCTTGAAAAATTGTTGCATTGTGCCTCGGGGCGAGGGCCTGCAGCTTCCCCCAAAAAAGAGGGGGAGGCGGTGGCCCCACGCTGCGCCACCCCCGCCGGGCGCAGGGCCGCCCGGAGCCCTCGGAGCTCAATCCTCCTCCTCCTCCTCCTCCTCCTCCTCCTCCACCTGATCCTCCTCCTCCTGCTTGTCCTTATCCTCCCCTTCCTCCTCCTCCTCCTCCTCCTCCTCATCTTCCTTCTCCTCCTCCTCCTCCTAAACCGCATACTTTCAGAAGTTCATAAACAAGTGCTGAGCGAGAAAGGGCAAAGGCAGAAAGTAAACCCGCCTTCTATGGCGCGTCATCATCATCATCATCATCATCATCATCATCATCCCTCCTCCTCCTCCTCCTCCTCCTCCTCCTCCTCCTCCTCCTCCTCCTCCTCCTCCTCCACCCCCCTTTCCTTAAAATGACAGGTCCCTGTCGCCCCCCCCAGACGTGTTGGTAAGGACGGGGTCAATGCAAACGGGGGTCAGTCAGAGCGCCGGCAGGGCCAGTGGTGCACTGACTCGGGCTCGGGTGCAGGATCCTGCAGGATGTTGCGGGATCTCGCAGGATCGTGCGAGGCCTGACTGACCCGGGTCTGGATTGACCCGGGTCAGAAGATCCTTGAATCCCTTCCTTGTCCTGAGGCCCCCGGCGGGCACCCAGATGTATCCGACGTCGTATTTTGGAGCCGCAGCACCATTTTGGCTCAAGCCTCCCAGGCGCATCAGCGGGCGCGGCACGGGGCAGTTGGAGTCCACCGCACGACACCCGAACGGCGGGCACGGCATGGGGCAGTCGGCGCTGTCCCGCACCGCGGAGGCCACAACAGTGAGCACGCTGGCGGGCAGCGACGCTTCGGGGTACGCGGACGGGCAGGGCGCGGCGGCCAGCTTCTATCGTCCGACGGGGGTGGCGGTGGACGGCGCGGGCAACGTGTTCGTGGCCGACTGCTACAACCACCGCATCCGGAAGATCTCGGCGGGCGGAGCCGTGAGCACATTGGCGGGCAGCGGCGCTTCGGGGTACGCGGACGGGCAGGGCGCGGCGGCCAGCTTCTATCGTCCGACGGGGGTGGCGGTGGACGGCGCGGGCAACGTGTTCGTGGCCGACTGCTACAACCACCGCATCCGGAAGATCTCGGCGGGCGGAGCCGTGAGCACGCTGGCGGGCAGCGGCGCTTCGGGGCACGCGGACGGGCAGGGCGCGGCGGCCAGCTTCTGGTTTCCGCGGGGGGTGGCGGTGGACGGCGCGGGCAACGTGTTCGTGGCCGACTGCTACAACCACCGCATCCGGAAGATCTCGGCGGGCGGAGCCGTGAGCACGCTGGCCGGCAGCGGCGCTTCGGGGTATGCGGAAGGGCAGGGCGCGGCGGCCAGCTTCTGGTATCCGGAGGGGGTGGCGGTGGACGGCGCGGGCAACGTGTTCGTGGCCGGCAAATTCAACTACCGCATCCAGAAGATCTCGGCGGGCGGAGCCGTGAGCACATTGGCGGGCAGCGGCGATGAGGGGTACGCGGACGGGCAGGGCGCGGCGGCCAGCTTCTGGTGTCCGGCGGGGGTGGCGGTGGACGGCGCGGGCAACGTGTTCGTGGCCGACTGCTACAACCACCGCATCCGGAAGATCTCGGCGGGCGGAGCCGTGAGCACACTGGCGGGCAGCGGCGTTTCAGGAAGTAGTTTCGCACATCCAGCATTCACTGCTCACTTTCATCGTTTCATTGGTACAGAGCAGGCCGTCGATTTTCCCCAGCTGAAGCATGCGAAATGTATCTGGGAAGGTATAATTCAAGGATTTGGAATCGAGTGCGCGGGCAAATCTCAGGAACGAGGGCTTCGAGGAATTTGCAGGACAGGAGTTGTCGCAAGTGTGAGATTCGACAGCTATGCCCAAGGATCAGGTTCATCTAAAGCAGCAGCTGCGCATGAGGTACACTGAAGCTGAAGCCCAAATACGAAGAGTCTGGTGGCTACCTGTATTACCCCAGCTCATTTAACAAAAAGCGGTGCAGGGAACAGAGAGCGGGGCGTCGTTGCCACGGTGAATGCGGAAGTCTCAGGAGTAAGCCAAGCGAGGATTCATGTTGGGCGTTATCTTTCCGCTGGCACTTGAATTTGATTTCAGGTTGGGGTATCATGCTGCAAACCGTTGAGCGGGATTGGATCCTGGGTGAAGGCCAGGAGGAGGAGGCTGTGATGGCTGCATCGCTGCAGATCCCAATCGTGCAGTGCCGGTATGATGAGGACCGCTACGCTTTCATGTTCAAGGTGCTTGGCTAAGTACAATTCGCAGGAGGCTGCGCTGCTGCGGCTATTGCAGCGTTGGGCCACCTCGTCGTTATTTCCTGCTCTGGAGAAAAAGCATATCCTGTTAAACTCAGAAAACAAAAATCAAGACAAACAAAAATCCATCGAAGCGCGGGATCTTGCAGGATCCTGCAGGGCCAGGGGTGCATGATTCGGGCTTGGGCGCAGGATCCTGCAGGACCCCAGGAGATCCTTGAAGTCCCTCCCTCGTCCTGGGGCCCCCGGCGGGCACCCGGATGCATCGGACGCTGCGTCTTTTTTGTATCCCTAGCGCAGCCGCCCAGAGGTCTTCAGGAGGGAAACAAACACACAGACACAATGAACCGCCGATTCCCAGAAAATATGGGTAAATATGGGAAGTCGGGGGGAAGACAGAAATCCAGAAAATACAAGAAAAAATGGGGGAATCTTTTTATTTGTGTGTGTTCATTTGTGTGTCCTGGGGCCCCTTCATGGATCCCTTCCTGGGGCCCCGTTCTTCATCCCGAGCCATTCTGTTTCGGGAGCGGCCAAGAGGGGGGTGATGACCAGAGGGGGTGGATGTCATGGTCAGGGCCACGATACCTCCCCAGATGTCCTGGCCCCTCTTCTTGTTCCAATGCGTTCCCTGGCCCCCGCCCCCCTTTTGGACACCCCCCCTTTTGGACAACCCCTCCTTTTGGACACCCCCCATTTGGACCCCCCCCTTTTGGACACCCCCCTTTTGGACCCCCCTCTTCTTGTTCCAATACAGTCAACGCGCCTAGTAAGGACGCGCGCCTTCATCTAGGGTACCCTTGCGTCCTTGCCTCTGAGGCCCGTCCTTTGCCGTTTTCACTGGTCGCCGCCGCCCCAAAAAATCCCAACTTCAGCCTCCAAGGGTCTTGCGTCCTTGCCACGCGTCCTTAATCTACGTTTTGACTGTACGTTCCCTGGCCCCCCCCCCCTGGTCCGCGCACATGCTGCGGGCCACGAATTCGAATTGCACCCCCCCCCCTTTTGAACGCCCCCCTCCTGGACGCCCCCGACTGTGGACGGTACGTGGACCCGGGCGAGTGCCCCCGGAGGCCGACGACCGCTCAAACCCTCCCGTCGAGACCGCTGCACGACGCGAGGAGGTCTGGGCGCCTCGCCCGCCAGTTGGGGTGCAACGGCAGTTTTTTTGTACTATTTGTGGCCATTTTGGCGCATTTGTTTGGCCATTTTTGATCTTTCGTCCACACTCCCCTTGTATGGGGGACACGCCCGACCTAAACGGAACTACCAGTGACGCCTCGCCGTGGGGAACCCCTCCCCGGAAGACGAAAAAACGGCAGAACCAATAAACTTTTGGCGCGCGGGTTCCTTGGATCTGCGTTGGAAGGCCCCTCCTTGGCGCGCTCCGCGCGCCAGGGGCGGTGCCGGAGGCGCCGCCGGGGGGGGGGGGGGCCCAGGCGCGGATCCAAGAAATCCGCGCGAACCGCCAAACGTTTATGTTTATTACGGTTTTCTTCTTCGAGATCATATCCCCTACGACGGATCTCAGGGGGGGGGCAGGAAAAAGTGGAGGAGGGAGGACAAGAAGGAGGAGGAGGAGGAGGAAGATGATGGGGAGGAGGAAGGGGAGGAGGAGGAGAGGAGGAGGAGGAGGAGGAGGAGGAGGAGGAAAAGGGGGATGATGATGATGATGATGATGATGATGATGATGATGATGATGATGATGATGAGGAGGAGGAGAGGAGGAGTAGGAGGAGGAGGAGGAGGAGGAGGAAGAGGGGGTGGATGGGGGAGGGGGAGGGGGAGGAGGACAAGTTTGGTGCGCTCGCGTCATATCTGACATCCTACCCCTCCCTCCCATCCCTTACCATGGCGCAGATCCCCTCTCTACTCGCACAGTCGGATGTCGAGCAGGGCAATGATCCCGAAAGGGTACGCGATGCATTGTAGAGCACGGCATGGCATGGCGTAGAAGAGCACCGCAAAGCGTAGTATCAACCTAGCATTGCATTGCACGCCGTGGCATGGCACGGGAAATGACGCCAGCGCTGCAGCGGGAGCACGAGTCGGAACGAGCGGAAGCGCGGAAATGAGGCCAGCGCTGCAGCGGGAGCACGATTCGGAACGAGCGGAAGCACGGAAATGAGGCCAGCGCTGCAGCGGGAGCACGATTCGGAACGAGCGGGGCCCGAAAATGAGGCCGGCGCCTCAGCGAGAGCAGCATTTTGAAAAAAAATGCAGGCGAAAACCCAACTCCGGGGAAACCTGTGTGTAAAAAGCCAGTACGCGGGGGGGGGGTCGGACACTTTCAAACCGTCATCAGGGGAAGAGGGAGATTAGTATTCCTATTGAGTACTTGTGGAGGGGGAGAGGGAGGAGGGGGAGGAGGAGGAGGGGGAGGAGGAGGACGCCGCCGTTGGGAACCCCCCACCGCGTTAAGTCGACGCCGACGGGCTCCGGACGGGCTCCCAGCGGCAGCTTCCCCTCTCGGGCCAACCCCCGCGCCTGGCCCGCCTCGCGGCCGAGCAGCGGGCCGGCAAACGCTCAGGCACCCTGCAGGTTTGGAAGTTTATATGCTCCTCCTCTTCCTCCTCTTCCTCCTTCTCCTCCTCCTCCGCCTCTTCCAACATGTTTCGCTTTCGGAGCAGATTTGGAGGATGTCTCAGGCGATCCGCTGGTTTCAGCACTCTAAGGGGAGCGGCGGGGGGGCATCTCACTCGGCCCCTTTCGCGGGATGTTGTGGGGATGTCTCAGGCGGTTTGGCCATTTTCTCTTCCAACATGTTTCGCTTTCGGAGCAGATTTGGAGGACGTTCGCGCCCAGTTTGCGGGGATGTCTCAGGCGGTTTGGCCGTTATGATGCTGGGCATTTGTCGTTTTCGGAGCAGTTTTGGGAGGATGTCTCAGGCGATTTGCGGGTTTCAGCATTCCCACGGAGGAGGAGGAGGAGGAGGAGGAGGAGGAGGAGGAGGAAGAGGAGGAGGAGGAGGAGGAAGAAGCGAAGGAGGAAGCGAGGAGGAGGAGGAGGAAGAGGACGAGGAGGAGGAGGAGGAGGAGGAAAAGGAGGACAGCATGAACACGGTAGGAGCAGAAGCAGGAGGGGGAGGATTATGATGATGATGATGATGATGATGAGGAGGAGGAGGACGTGGGCAACTCGAGTAGCCAGGGCCAGACGATCGAGGTTCGATGTTCCAAGGCTTTAGGTTTTACTCAAACGCTTCCGCCTCACTCTCCTTCGCTCTCCGCTCTCGCACTTAGACTCGCTCATATCCATACTTAAACTTACTCACATTCAGACTCACGCTCAGAACCACTCATACTCAGACTCGCTCCTGCTCAGACTCATCATCCTTCGGTCCGCTCAAACGCAGACCGACTCACACTCAGACTGCCTCACATCCATACCCAATCACACTCGGCTCACTCGCACTCAGGTTCATTAACACACACTTTTTCTCACATTCAGACCCACTCAAGCCCAGACTCACTCATGCTCAGACTCATCATGCTACGATCCGCTCAATCACAGATTGGCTCACACTCAGATTCGTCCATATTCAGACCCACTCGCACACAAACGCACTCGCGCTCATATTTACTCACACGCATACCCACTCAATCCCAGGCCCAATCGCACCCAGATTAACTCACACTCAGAATCAGTCGCTCTCAGACTTGCTATTGGTCGCACTCATGCTTGCAGACTGTGGGAATGTCTCGAGCGAGCGGTTCGCCCTCGCAGCCAGGCGCTCATTGACATATATCAATAGAAAGACGTACCAAGAGAATGAGATGCACATATGGGGAGCCCCGCGTCGAGTAATTATTGGCGGGCCGCGCCGGAGGAACAGAGAGAGAACAGAACACCACCTCACCTCCTCTCATTCAGACCCACTCAGACTCAGTCATCACTCAGACTCCCTCATCGCTCAGGCTCAGTCAGTCACTCAGACTCACTCATCACTCAGACCCATTCATCACTCAGACTCATTCGTCACTCATACCCACTCATCACTTGGACCCAGTCATAATTCAGACTCATCACTCATCACTCAGACTCACTCATCACTCAGACTCACTCATCACTCAGACTCACTCGTACTTGTACTCATACATTCACTACACTCACTCAGGCCCATTCATCGGATGACTCACACACATTGATGTTGAGGATGTGTCAGGCGATTCTGTGGCTTCTGCACTCCTAAGGGGAGCGGTGGGGAGGTATTTCCCTCGGCCCCTTTCGCGGATGTTTGTGGGGATGTCTCAGGCGGTTTGGCCATTTTCTCTTTCAACATGTTTCGCTTTCGGAGCAGTTTGCGAGGATGTCTCAGGCGATTCGCTGGTTTCAGCACTGAAGGGGGGCGGCGGGGGGGTATTTCACTCGGCCCTTTTCGTGGATTCTTGTGGGGCAGTCTCAAGCGGTTTTGCTTTTTTCCCCCTCCAACATGTTTCGCTTTCGGAACAGATTTGGAGGAGGGGGAGGGGGCAGGAGGAGGAGGAGGAGGAGGAGGAGGACCAGGAGGAGGAGGAGGAGGGAGTAAGGAGGAGGAGAGGAGCAGTAGGAGGAGGAGGAGAGATGGAGGACAGGAGGAGGAGGAGGAGGATGAGGAGGAGGAGACCAGGAGGGAGGCAGGATAGGAGGAGGAGGAGCGCCAGGAGGCAGAGTCGAGGAAGAGGTGGCAGGAGATGAGGAGAGGAGGAGGAGGAGAGGAGGAGGAGGAGAGAGGAGGAGTGAAACCAGGAAGAGGAGGAGAGGAGGACGAGAGGAGAGAGGAGCAGGAAGGAGGAGGAGGAGGAGGAGGAGGAAGCGGGGGTGGGGGGGGCAGGAGGACGGCAAGTCTTCTCTCTTCATCTTTCCTTCATCCTTCGACGGACGAGGGGGAGGAGACACCCCCAACAATTGATGCGTGCGACATCGCATCGTAATGATTTTAGGAGGCCATCAGGAAACAGCATAAGGCCACAACATGGCCCCAAGAGCGCCCCTAAGGTTGCTGGAAATAGTGATTTCGCTAGGGACATCTTCAACAAACATAACAAATCGAACAGCATCGTTTTGAAAACTGCTGTTTTAACATCGTCTGGGGATCGCTCCTGAAAAGGCT